GGAAGGAAATTTTAAGGCAAAGAGGCAACTGGGTCTTTATTTTATTTTATTTTATACTATTTTATTTTATACTATTTTATTTTACTTTATTTATTTTATTTTATTTTATTTTATTCTATACTATTTTATTTTATTCTATACTATTTTATTTTATTCGACACTATTTTATTTTATTCTATACTATTTTATTTTTTTATTCTATTATTTTTATTTTATTTTATTCTATACTATTCTATTTTTTTATTCTGTTATTTTTATTTTATTTTATTCTATAATATTTTATTTTATTCTATAATATTTTATTTTATTCTACACTATTTTTTTATTTTATTCTATACTATTTTATTTTATTGTATTCTATAGTATTTTATTCTATTTTATTTGTTCATTTTGGGTCACTTTGCCCCCCCCAAAAAAAATATCTCAGGGAAAGATCCTTTTTAACTGTCTTTGTTCCCACTGGAAAACAGGGGAAAAATTAAGGAAAACGATGGGAGATATTTGAATAGGTGAAGGAATAGATGTGAAATACAGAGGGGAAATAATACAGCTATGAAATATATTAAATATATAAGAGAAATATATGAAAAATATTATAGATATGAAGTGGATGAAATAGATATGAAATATATATAGGAAAAATAAGACATTTTATATATATGAAATATATATGAAATACATATGAAATATATATGAAATATATATGAAATATATAAAAAATATGAGAATTGTGAAATCTGTATGAAATACATGAAAAAAATGTATGAAGAAAATGAAACTGCTTCTGAACCCGCCCGGTTTTAGAAAATGGGTTTGGAATGAAGTTTTTCCAGTCCTTGGGAATCTCCCAGAAGTGACTCCTGGGGATTAAAAATAAATAGAAAAAAGGCTCTTTTTTCACACCTGAAACCCCCAAACTGACCTGAATTTGACCCCTGGGCTGGGAATTCTCCTGGGGAATCCCGGGTGTCCAGTGCCGTTCCTTGGCCGGTGCTTTTCCATCCATTCCTTATAAAAAAATCCCCAGGAAGAGGCAAATCCAGGAAAAGCGATGAGGAGCTGGTGCCGGGTGTCTTTTCCAGGGAATGTTTTCGGTGAGGGCTGGGATGGGGGGTCCCTGGCCTCGAGCTGGGTGGAATCTTTTAGGTGCCGTTGGATCGTTTTCCCGACTTTTTTTTTTTTCTCGCCCTTGAGTTAATTTACCCCCTTTTTAAAGGAATGCTGATTTCCCAAGATTGCTGGAACTGTGAGAGGGGAGGGGTTTGGAGCATCCTGGTCTATGGATCCTGGCACAGGGTGGGACTGGGTGGGATTTCAGGTCCTTCCCACCCCGTTCCATGATTCCCTGTCTCTTGCCCCCCACCCCCAGTGCGATCCCTACGTGAAGATTTCCGTGGGAAAGAAATCCATCAGCGACCAGGAGAATTACCTGCCCTGCACCCTGGAGCCTGTCTTTGGGAAGTGAGTGTGGATTCACTTTGGGATCCAGGGGAGTTTTTTTGTGTCACGTCGAGGGAATTGTGCTGGATGAGCCAGAGCTTCCCATTCCAACCTGCACTCAAGGCTGGATGAGGCTTGGAGCAACCTGGGATACTGGAAGGTGTCCCTGCCCGTGGCAGGGGGTGGAATTGGATGGATTTTCAGGTTCCTCCCATCCCAATGGATTTTAAGGTTCCTCCCATCCAAACCATTCCACGATTCCCTTGGCTCTTGTTCGTCTTCTCCCCGGGAATTCCGAGCTGTGGAACTGGGTCTGCTCTGTCATCAATGGACACACCAGGAGGGATGTTTAGACCTGGAATTCCCTTGGGGAGGAATAATCCCCAGCCCACCGGTGGTAGAGGGAGTCCAGGGAACTTCTGCTCCTTGTTTAGGGGATTTGGTTCGATGTCTGGAGGAAAAATGGGATGGATGGAGACCTGTTTGGGGCTGTGGGATGGGACACCTCCAAGTGGGATGTCTTGGAAAAGAGTTATCCATAAACATGGTTTCCTGAGGCAGCTCCTGCCAGTTCAGGCTGCCAGTGACACCTTCCCAGCAAAGCAGGATGGACAGGGAGATGAGTTTAGATGGGATATTGGGATGAAATTCCTGGCTGGGAGGGTGGGGAGGCCCTGGCACAGGTTGGGCAGAGAAGCTGTGGCTGCCCCTGGATCCCTGGAAGTGTCCAAGGGCAGGCTGGAGCAACCTGGGATAGTGGGAGGTGTCCCTGCCCATGGAACTGGATGAGCTTTAAGGTCCCTCCCAACCCAAACCATTCCATGATTCCATGATAAAGTGAGCCCTGGCACTGGGGGGTTGGGATGGGGTGTGGGTCCATCCCACTGGGGTGTTGGGATGGGGAGTGGGTCCATCCCATGGCACTGGGGTGTTGGGATGGGGAGTGGGTCCATTCCATTGGTGTGTTGGGATGGGGAGTGGATCCATCCCACTGGGGTGTTGGGATGGGGAGTGGATCCATCCCACTGGGGTGTTGGGATGGGGAGTGGATCCATCCCACTGGGGTGTTGGGATGGGGAGTGGGTCTGTCCCAATGGGGTGTTGGGATGGGGAGTGGGTCCATCCCATTGGTGTGTTGGATGGGGAGTGGGTCCATCCCACTGGCACTGGGGTGTTGGGATGGGGAGTGGGTCCATCCCACTGGCACTGGGGTGTTGGGATGGGGAGTGGGTCCATTCCATTGGTGTGTTGGGATGGGGAGTGGGTCCATCCCACTGGGGTGTTGGGATGGGGAGTGGGTCCATCCCAATGGGGTGTTGGGATGGGGAGTGGGTCCATTCCCAATGGGGTGTTGGGATGGGGAGTGGGTCCATCCCACTGGGGTGTTGGGATGGGGAGTGGGTCCATCCCACTGGGGTGTTGGGATGGGTAGTGGGTCCATCCCACTGGGGTGTTGGGATGGGGAGTGGGTCCATCCCA